TGCTCGGCACTCAGGGCCTTTGAGCAGTGAGGGATCTTTTTTCCTGGCAGCACCTTCTGCGACACGGGACCTCGGTTTATACGGTCTCATCCGAAGGACCGGTCTCCACGTCCCACAGTGGGATTCGAACCCGCGACGTAAGGATTGATTCCTTTCTCCGCGACTCTAGAGCCGACGCTCTAACCACTGCGCCACGCGAGCGACAACAACCCCATATAGATTGTAATGTCCAAAAATTTTTAAGCTTTGCAAGATATTTATGAAGAGATTAAAGAAATCATGGCTAATTATCAGATGAATACGTCAGCCCCTTTTATCGCCCCCAAAATAGTATGGTGTCTACCGCACTTTATTTAAAAATAGGGTTGACAGTTTTGGATACCCTCTTCTTCAGGGGAAAATCCCTTGTTCTGCGCACGGCAACCGCGCAATGGGTAGATTTTGTCCAGTTTTTTTAGTTAAAAAAAAAGAGATCCCCACTCCTTGAATTTGCAGTTATTGAATTTATAGTTTAAATCAAGTAAAAGTGCCCCCCCCCCCTCCATTTTTTTTCTTTAGAGAACATCGATGTGTTAAGTTGGAATGGATTTATAGCTATGAAGCTCTGGAAGTCAACGATACTTGGTTTAATATATTCATTTTAAAACTCTACAAATTCCAGGGAGTTCCTGACCCAAGAAGTCGACGACTATATACCCTATCTGACTCAAGAAGTCAACGACTATATATTATACCCTATCTACTCTGAACCGAATGCTTTGCTCGTATATTTAAAGTTAGAAAATATCAATATTTGTTTGTTATTTCAAAAAAATTAAATAAGATGTGGTGGAAAAAATCTCGTAAGAAAAAAGGCCTTGATCATTGATCATTGGCGGATGCAGAAAGGGGGTTCGGTGGTTGGACCCCCTTTATATTTGTACACACACACTGAGAGATACAGAGAGAGACATTTTTTCTGTAATATGGATATTTACATTAATATGTCTAATAATTTGAAAATATGAAAAATCTCTGTCCGTTCTGCTCGCTAGATCTGTAAATTTTCGCGCATTTGCTTTAAATTCCGTCGTGTACCTTCACAAACCCGGCTAAGGGCTCCGAAACACCCTGTACCATCGGCTCATATACATTCACGTGTCAGCATGAGAGAGGAACAAACGACAACTCTGCATGGGAGATTTGCTCAAAACATCCACAAGTAACATGCAAGGAAGATTCCAGAATATATATATCAGTTTTGGACCATCTTCAGAAGTACCCGTAAATAACGTTTAGAAGTATGCATAAAATAAAAACTTTTGAAATGTTCCCGTAGTATGTCGATAGAGGAGATTCCTTTTTTCTAAGAATAATACCTTGCTGTGGTTTTACTAAATGTTTTTAATCAATGAAGAAAAACGCTTAAAAATTAAATGTTCCCGAAGTATGCAGATGGAGGGGGCTCCCTTTTTCTGAGAATAATCTCTTGTTATGGTTTTACTTAATATTTGATTTGGAAGTTCCCTCCACATTTTTTGTTGTCGAAAAATACGCAGATTCAAACATTTGAAAGTAATGTACCGGAATACCCCGCCACAGAGATTTAAAAGTGTGCTTTATAGTCTTTTTTGGGGGGGGGGTGTCAAATGTTCTTGGAGGTCCCCCTTCTTATAAATGTAGCTTGAATTGGCCGTGATGTAATTCTATGCATGAGTGCTTGGGGTACCGACCCCCCCCCCCCTCCCTTCAAAAATTGCTGGATCCGCACCATGCATTTTGATTATTCATATATAGGCCATCACCTGAGATTAACTTTCTTCACTGTTAAAATAAATTAAAACAAAGAGAGAATAAAAAAAGAAGAATGCAATGGACATTCTTTAAAGAGAGAATAAAAAAAGAAGAATGCAATACAGGATGGTACAGGATCATTTATGATTATTTTTTAAATGTTACAATTTTTAGCGCTTTTTAAAAACGGAACTGTTAAATAAGTATGTTTCATCTGATCGTAAACAACCATCAAGAAGACAAATTAAAACTCAACTAAAACTAAATGTAAAAAAAAAACTAAAATGCTGAATAAACAAACGATTGGGAGTCAACATGGTAAACACTTAGATTGACAGAAATACCTGGAATGTAAGCTGCAAAAGAAAAGGTACGTTCTTTCATTGTGCATAAAATTAATTACACTACGTGTTTCGAGGTAATCTCATCATAAGTCTATGTATATCTGTTAATTAACATTTTATAAAATTGGATTACACTGTCCAAAGTGTGTTACAAATGAAACCTCGACATTCCTTGGGGTTAGCTATTTCGGACTATTGTAGCCTAAAGGTGCATGGGTAGAGGATAAGATAATGGTACCCAAAGCGTCATAGACGACCGAACTCACAGACAGACGGACCCCCAATTACTTATATATGCCCTTCCATTTTTAAAAATTATCATACTGTTGTTTTGCTTACAAGTGTGTAATAGGTCAGCACATATACATGCTCACGCCTTTTTTAGAGCTCTACATATTCTATGACGTAACAATACAATGATACGTCATTTTTTCTTCCTAAACCCAAGATTTGCATCCTAAAATGCGTCTCTTAACTGACAGTGAAATGACATAAGCGGACCTAAAATCTTCAATCTTTTAGGTTTCATTTAAGCACTGAAACATTGTAGTATCGTAAATATTCTGATATATGTGTCCACTATCATCAAGGGGTGTCTCCCTACACTTCCAGATTTTTATTCCTCTATCAAAATATTTTTTTTAGAATAATTATTACACCTGAACATAAACTTTACCTTCACCAGGAAAAACACTAAATTCAACATTGAAACGAACAAACAGTTTTGTGAACAATTAGAGAGACAGAGTTATATACCTGTGATGTACAACGTAAAGCTGCAAAAGAAAGGTACGTTAATATTGTGGATTAATACTAATTCATACGTGTTTTGAAGTAATCTCGTCACAAGTCTTTATGTATATCTATTAATTAACATTTAATAAAATATTGGATACCACTGTCCAAAGTATGTTACAAATGAAACCCCAATATTCCTTTTACACAATGCAGGGGCGGTCGGATCAAACTCGTCTTTTTCCGTATCGGAGATCAAGACCCGAAGAGGATTTCGGAAATAGCCGAGTAGCTACGATTGAATACGAATGAATCTGACGTCACAGCGGAAGTGACGCCGAGCTGTGTCTGCACTGGCTGTGTTAGATCGAAGGAGGCTGTATATCTTCGTGTTTCTCCGCGTTTTAAAGCATGTTTTCCTATTGTTAACATATTTTTATTTACTACAGCATTTTCTTGGCAATGTTGACGCGAAGGATGGGATTTTTCGAATGCAAACTGCAAGGTTAGTGAAAAATTGGAAACAACGAAATGACACGACCTTCCCTCGGCGTCTGAGTGTGAACTACGTTACGAATTACGAAATTTACGCAAGCTGGTGAGGATTCTGAAATCTTTTGAGAGTATTTACTGAACATTATTCACGATGGGATGTTAATTTGAACGTTTTTAATCAAAATCTACGATTAGATAGTAGCCAGGCATGCGCAGTAGGGGGGTTAGTTGTGCCTGGCATGACTAACCCCATTTACGCGTGCGCTAACTAACCCTGCTGAGACTGACAAAAAACTGACTAAGCCTTGACTTTAGGCAAAGTCCAAAAAATAAAATGCATGCAAAATAAAAAAAAAAAAAGAACACCAGCACAAACAACATTCCAGAAACAAATAAAATGATTTAAAACAAGATAATTATAAAATAAATAGAAAAAAAACTTAAATTCTAAAATTATTAACTAAACTAAATTTTAATAGAAATGTTCGTGTTAGTTGACTAAGTTAGTCAAATACTAAGACAATTTGCAATGGAAATTCTTGTTAGTTGACTAAGTTAGTCAAACTAAAACAATTTGCAGTGGAAATTCTTGTTAGTTGTCTAAGTTAGTCAAATAATTACACAAAATGCAATGGAAATTCTTGTTAGTTGTCTAAGTTAGTCTAACTAAGGGATTTTTTCTTGAAAACCCCAAATTCCAATAATCAAAATAATTCCAATTTTAAATAATACACTGTTAGACATTCTAATAATATAGAGAAAACTAAACTATTTTCCACGATCGTTAAAATTCTCAGTCTAATTACAAGACATTTTGTCAGTCTATAAATTTTACCAATTTATAACTTTTTCTTGCTGCAGATCTGTAATGTAAAACTCTGCATCTCATAACAATATACAGATTGTCTAGCCTGTGAACATCTCTATTTTATGACAATATACAGATTGTCTAGCCCATGCATATCTCTCATTTCATTTCTATTCTATGACTACAAACAGATTGTCTAGCCTGTGAACATCTCTATATTATTGATATCACTATATACAGACATTGAAGTCTCACTCTATTTTATCATAATATACAGATTTTCTAATCTTTGAAGCTTTCTACTTTATTACTACTGTATATACAAACTCACTCTCTCTTATCATTATATACAGAATGTCTAACCCATGAAGTTTGTTTGTTTGTACAGTGTATGCTGTTTAACATCCCTCTTGAGAATTTTTCACTCATATGGAGACGCCACCATTGGACGCTGGAGAGCTGCAAATTTTGTCCTATATTTGGCACTCAGGGCCATTGAGCAGTGAGTGATTTTTTCGTGCCAGCACCTACTGCAAAATGAGACCTTGGTTTATATGGTCTCATCCGAAGGATCACTAACAGGTGGACTTTTTATGACAATATACAGACTCAATCTTATCACTATATACAGAATGTCTAACCTATAAAGTTTTCTATTTTATCACAATATACAGACTCTATCTTATCATTATATACAGAGGGTCCTATTTTATTACTATAAACAGACTCCAGCTTATCACTATATACAGAAAGAATATCTAACCAATGTAGATCATTCTCTATTTTATCATTATATACAGACATTCAAGTCTCACTCTATTTTATCAGTATATGCAGCGTCTAACCTGTGAAGATCTCTCTCTATCTCATCATTAGCTAGAGTGTACTTCCCAAGGCTTTGTTCTACCATGTTTCTATAATAACCTTTATTTGTAGCCATCTGAAAAAATAAATTGATTTATTCATATTGTTTTGATTCCAACAAAACTTAACAGCAGAAGACAAGACTTAGTACAGTAAAACTCGGTTAGTATAAAAATGGATATTGCAAATTCATGGATATAGCAAAGTTATCTTGGATCCCCAGCTATATGACTTTAATGAATTTCTTCTTATACGGATATAGCAAAGTGATTTCATAGGTCCCAGTGATTTCGTTATAACCGAGTTTTACTGTGACATGTTACAGCATAAGATGTTCTTTTATATTTCATAGTGACATTAACTAGCTTCATGCCTCTCCCTTTCATGATTTGCCCCTGAACATCACCATGTGACCTTGATTTTGATAATGACTGTTCTGTTCAGGGCCTTCCAAAATTCAAGGTTATCAGCAATAAAATGCACATCATCACTAATCTCTCTGTCTACCCAGGTACTTAATTCAGATTGGTGAGAAGAAGGTGTGTTACATGTATCTTATCAGTGTTACTAGAACAACCAGAGGTTAGTTTGAAGCACCTGTTTGATATAAAATTGACCCAGAAGTTTATATTTTGTCTTAAATGTTCAGAAGTTTAATGGGTCAGATGACAATTAATGAAAGATGAAAACAGAAATAACAAAGGCAGCATAATAACTGTAGAATTATTTTTTCCCACTTTTTGTTCTACAATATTTCATTATCACATGTATATCATTTGTGTTCTACATTTTATAAGGTATGTGCCAATTCTGTCTCATATGTCTATTCCATATAAGGTCCTCACCAGGTTAATAATTCCAAACAACTGTCAACTTTCCACACATAATATGCTCCTTATGATAATAAATAAAACCCCTTAAGAGAGGACTTCAGCATTCATGTGATTAACTATCATTAATAACTTGAGGAAACTTGATATAAAGCATCCTAGGTTGAAGGGGAGTTCAAATGAATGGCCAAGCCCCATTACAAGGGGAGATAATCAAGAAAAGATCAAAATAGGGTAGGGTCATTAAAAAATCTCCTTCTCAAGAACCATTGGGTTAATACAAGCTGAAACTTATGTGGAAACATCCTGGAGTAGTGTACATGTAGATTCTAAATAAATAAAATAAGGGGGTGTAGGGCAGAGCAACAATAGGGAATTAAAGTTAATTTATATTGAAATATATATTAAAAAATCTTTATAAAAATGTTCTTCTCAAAAAATCACTGTGCCAGGAAAGCTGAAACTTATGTGGAATCATCCTCAGGTAAGTGTAGATTCTAAATTGTTCAAATCATGGCCCTCAGGGGTAGGGTTGGGCCACAATAAGGAATCCAAGTTTTATGTTGAAATAAATAGGAAAAGTAGAATCTTTAAAAATCTTATTCTCAAGAACCACTGAGCCAAAAAAGCTAAAAATTGCATGGAAGCATCCTGGGATAGTGTAGATTCCAATTTTTTATCAAATCATGACCCCAGGGTTAGGGCAAGGCCATGATAGGGAATCCAACTTTTACATTGGAATATATAGGGAAAACTTGAAAAATCTTCTCAAGAACCACTGGGACAGGAAAGATAAAACTCATGTGGAAGCATCCTGGGGGTAGTGCAGATTCAAAATTGTCCTAATCATGACCCCCACACATAGAGTGGGGCCACAATAGGTATTACAAAGGGGAAATCTGGTAAAGATCAGCATTGTTAAAGTTACACCAGTTGAGCAAATTTGAAAGACTTTCGAGATTTTAGTAACTCTTTTTTATCAAAATAATTTTAAATAAAAATACAATGTACATGTAGAGATTACAGAGAATTTCATCCAGAAAACAATATTAAAGGTTCATTTCAAATCAACATAGTAATAATCACAGGAAATGTTTCACACTTGAGATCATTGTGTCTTGTTTACCAAACCATGCACACATTAATGAAGATTTCCAATGTTGTAAGAGCAGAAACTAAGTAAAATGACCGTTTGTGGTAAACAATTCAGAATACAGGAAAATGTTTATATAAATTTTGGTGCATTGCCATAATTCTGTGAATGGGTTGAACAAGAGGCCCATGGGCCACAATGCTCACCTGAGTCAATATGGCTGACTTTTTCATCAGCAACTTACCGTATATCCGTTTTTTTTCGCGATGATCTATTTTTCGCTTTTTTTGCGATCATTTTTAATACGCAAAATATAAAACACGCAGAATTTACGTCAGCTATAATTTGACATAAAAACATTACCATTTTAAACAATATGATCTTCAATCATAAAAAATAACAAAATAAAAACTGTACTAATCTACCCCTTTTTCGCAAAATTTCCAACACGCAAAAAAACAAGAGGCCCATGGGCCACATCGCTCACCTGAGCCATCTTTTCAAATTTAGAACGTTTTTTTTTCTTTTATTACGTCTCCTGACTTGAAATATTTTATGAGTTTATATTTTTGCATCATTAAAACTGAACCCAAATGGGTCATGATACAAGTATATCGAATCCATTTTAATGATTTGGATGCTTAAATTCCAATCTGACTAATTGTGTTCTTTTTAGGCCTCAGACATACATGCACATACTGTAATTCCATTTATGAGCCAAAGAATGTTCATTATAATTACTGCATTTTGCATTCAGCTTGACAAGTGCAATCAGTTACTAACTTTCTTCAGCAAACAAGAAAAATACATGGTTATGCTAAAAACTTTATTCAGAAAGTTATGCAATTCTTGAGTAATTATTTGCAGGAAACAATATGAGTAAATTAACATATAAAATGTTCAAAACAAGATGATACATATTAAACTATGTTGACACATTTGATAATAGAATATACATTATTTTTAAATACATTTCTTATCTTGAAACTTAAATCATGCACATACATACATGTGAAGTACCAGGTAGTAATTAAATCAAAAACATCATTAAATCAGTAGATGTATAATTAAATTTAAAACATAATGATTGTAAATGACAATAAATCTTAATAAAGAGTATACTGTATAAAGCATTGGAAAAACATTTGAAAATGCAGTCAAAATATGCATATTTGTCTAAAATATATAAATCATTTTTTAAAAAATACAATCGCACAATATACATACCTTTCCCAATGAAAGCGAAAACGGGAAAGGTTTATGTGTAACAGTAAGTGATTGAAAAAGTAAGATTTTTCAAGTTTTACCAATATGCATAGTACCTTATGTTTACATAATTGCATTACCAGAACCCCTGATTCAAAGAATCTTGTTGAACAATTTATGGGGGCGCTTTTATTCCTCTTAAATTTTCATTACAGATGTAGCATATTGTATGTGCAATTATATTCATCAGCATTTTTTTTTTGTCTTCTAAAAGAGGTAGGTTTACCTCCCTTTACGGGCTGGCCATTGACCCCCTCTTTCCATACTTACCTTTAAATCATAGATTTTGTACACATTAAATTTGATCTTAATGCACCTGACGTTCAGAAAAATCTACATGACCTGATATGTCTTATTTATTTGAATCAGGGAATCTGAGTTTTCATACATAAAATTCAACGGTGACAATGTAGTGACATTTTAAAATTGTAAGCATTGTATGTTATTTACACAAGTTGTTTTTAAGAAGCATAATTTCCATTGAAGTTCATAGTACAAATAAGAATTATTATTATTAATAGTGCAATAGTGCAAAAAAAAAAATATTTCAGCAAAAGATTAAAGGCATGCAGTCAATGGAGACATCCAACTTATGATTTCCACATTTTCTAAGGTGACACATTTAATTTTTGCAATGATATATCTGGCATTAATTATGAGAAGATGGGTATCACACAAAGTATGCTATAGCTGGAAGAGTCAGATCGAATCACAATTAATAGAATGCTCTAGAGTCACAATCACTACAGTCTATCAAAGAGTGTCCTTCAATGTTCTTCAAGAAATATTACAACATATCAGGATAAAAGAGTTCTCAACACAAAATTGTGTTGTCGGTATTTAAATGCAAAAGTCATACTAATAAAATTAAGGGACAGATGATTCTCAATTTCTGAAACATAATTATTGTTTGTACATGTAAGACATATGAACTCTATAAATGGTAATACACATGTACACTGAATTGTACACAGCATAGATATATATCCAATACAATATTCTACAAAGTGATATTATGCACTATTATTTTGAATATACATGAACATGTAGATGATAACTTGTAAAAAAAAAATTCACAAACTTATAAGACATTCAGTAGAGTTGTTACACATATACATGTGGATTAAAGAAATGTTAACAATTGTACAAATTTTTTGATATAAAATCAACAGTTGATCAACTGACAATAGCCAAAAATGCAATTATTCGTGAATATGACAACCTTTCATTTTAATTTAAATATGCATTAAGAATTTAGCACAAATTGTAGTCATAGCAAAAAATATGAAATTATACAATTAAAATCTTAAGAAAGTAAACATATATACATATACAAATACAATAAGAATTCAATAATATGTAATTAACAGTCAAGTCTAAAAGGTAAATGTCTTCATCTAATAACAGAAGTTAATAATACAAAGATATTAAGTACAAAATTCAAATTTTCAAACAGTGGGTTGTTTAAAAAAAAATGTCCAAATAGGGCTAATACCCCAACAAGGGAATAAGAGAAGACATACTTCAATCTCTGCAACCTAGCTACAATTATTGCAAATGGCCAAGGGGATGGCCTGAATTTTGCTGACGTGTAATTAGCTGAAGGTCATGTTAATCTCCAGTGATTCAAGAACACAATTACCCACTGTTCAAGCTTTAAAATGTTTTGGATCAAAGAATACATAACTTCTTAGTCATATTACTGAATGATCTTGTACATTATCATTACATCCAATGAGATCACAACAGATCTGACTTTTTCAAAAGGAACCTTAATTTGCCAAAGTATATATAACCTAATATTCACCCAAAACCAAAAATATAAACATATAAACTTTGTGACCTTGATCTAAATCATTTTAGCTGCTGGTCATGACAGCATATTAA